TCTTTGAATCCAAGCAGGAAGGCTTAGCAAAGGCTCTGTACAGAAACCTGTCGTGTCTTGTATCAGGCTACAATTTTTTTTAAGTCAGATTTCTCAAAAACTGGCACAGCAGTTGGATATAAATGGCTTCTGAAGATATATCACATCTGTCCAAAAATGAAAATCATTTTTCATGCCCAGCAATTGTGAACTTTCCAAATTGCTCTGTGAAAGTGTTTTATTCTCATGCAACGAAAGGCAAAAAAAACCAAAACCAGTGACGGGGGAAAAAATAACAATTCCTATACAACCACTATATGCTTTTGATTCAGATAGTTCAATGCTCAATATGTCATTTTTTATATTCTTTTTTACTTTTCTGACTTTTGAATCAATATGCAAAATGCGAACTGGATTATTCAAAGGTAGAAGAAGAAACGCTGCTTCTGATGAAACCTTGCTACAGGACGTGGGAAGGGAGTGACAGCTACCGAGTCCTGGGTTCACGCGATTCTCCTGCCTCAGCCTCCTGAGCAGCTGGGACTACAGGCGCCCACCATCACGCCTGGCTAAGTTTTAAAAATATTTTTAGTAGAGACGGGGTTTCACCATGTTAGCCAGGATGGTCTCGAACTCCTGACCTTGTGATCTGCCCGCCTTGGCCTCCCAAAGGGCTGGGATTACCGGCCTAAGCCGCTGCGCCCAGCCGCCACTGAATCTCTTTAGACTCCACTTGCGCTCCAGGCTCCTCTTGACTTCATTCCTCTCCTCACTCTAGTGGAAGTAGAAACTTTTTGTATAATAACAAATGGAAGTTATGCCATGAGTGGGATTTATGTTCCCATGATAGAGATGGGTTTGTTTAGTAGTTGTTTCAAGTTGAAGAATGACAGTGTCCACCACCCTCCCAGGAATAGGAACCTTCAGGCGAATGAGTCTCCTCACCGGAGCAAGGGAACAGTAGTAGCAGGACAGAGTTGGATCATGCACGGACAGGGAGGTAGAGGAGAAGAGAAGAGCTCCAAAGGTTAGAAGGATTCTTAGACTCCCATATCTGGCTGACTTTCTAATGACTGAAGATGTAAAAAGGGCAAGTCATGATCTGCACTACTTACAAGATGAGGCAAGTTCTGTTCTAGAACTTGAGCATGTCTGTGATCCACAAGGAGCATAATTGTCTTGTTTTCTTGTAACAGACTCGACCACAGGACGTGATGCAGGGTTACACACCATTTCTCTAAATATTCCATTGAGATGGAAGTTTCTAATCAGATGATTCTTAATCTGATTTTACTTTGATTGCCACACAGTTTAGTGTAGTGTTTGCTTAGAAGCCGACATAGTAAAATAAAAGTAAAATCAGATTAAGAATCATCAGGGTTGCTGGGTGCAGTGGCTCACACCTGTAATCCCAGCACTTTGGGAGGCCAAGGAGGGAGGATCTCTTGGGCCTATGAGTTCAAGGCCAGTCTGAACAACATGGGAAGACTCTGTCTCTATGAAAAAATGTTTAAAAATTAGTCGGGTGTGGTGGCACAGGCCTGTGGTCCCAGCTACTTGGAAGGCTGAGGTTGGGGTAATGCCTGAGCCTGAGAGGTCAAGGATGCAGTGAGCCATGATCGTGTCACTGTGCTTCAGCCTGAGTGACAGTGACACTCTGTGTAAAAATAAATGAATAAAATTTAAAAAGATAAAGAATCATGAGGGCACTTATGGCAGTTATCAGAAGGCAAGCCATTCTACATAGTGTTAGGTTTTGCTGTTTACAATAGAAAACCCAAACTAATAGTGGCCTAAACATAGAGATGCAACCCTCAAGAAAAGCTGTCCAGAGCTGGGCAGTTACGTGCTGGTATTTTGGTTCTTTGGTATCCAGGGGCCTAGGTGCCTACTATCTTTAGGCTCTCCCTTTCCAGAGCCAGCCTCCAAATTTAAGGTCCCCTCATATTCCGAGACAGTTGCTGTAGTGCCAGCCTTCAAGCACAAGGCCAAAAGAGGAAGGAATGAAGCAGTTGAGAAAACAAAAAGTACAGGAATCATACAACTGTGTGGAATGTATATATTTTTTGCTTCCAACTTTATTTATCAAATTTTCCATGCTATTGGTCCCTTCAGGAGTTGCTCCTTAGCTCCTCTATTCTCATGTGAAAGGAGGTGGGGATGTTACTACTTCAAGATCCACATCTTTTTCCTGTCCCTTTATTCTCATTAATGAATTAGCTGATTCATCAAATGTCTACTGAACACCTATTAATCATAGGCCCTTGGCTAGTCATTGGAAACACAAGGATGAAAAAAAAAAAAAAAAATCCCTCCGGCCAGGCACAGTGGCTGACACCTGTAATCCCAGCACTTTGGGAGGCCGAGGCAAGTGGATCACCTGAGGTCAGAAGTTTGAGACTAGCCTGACCAACATGGTGAAACCCCGTCTCTACTAAAAATGTAAAAATTAGCTGGTTGTGGTGATGTGCACCTGTAATCCCAGCTACTCGGGAGGCTGAGGCAGGAGAATCGCTTGAACCCGGGAGGTGGAGGTTGCAGCGAGCAGAGATTGCGCCATTGCACTCCAGCCTGGGAGACAGAGCAAGACTTTGTCTTAAAAAAAAAAAAAAAAAAAAAAAAATCCCTGCCTGCCATCAGACGCTGTCTGTCTAGTTGTAAAGAGGTCATGAGCATGGTGACCCCACTTTTATAAGTGCCACCAGAAGGGAGAGGGCATGGGATAGAAAAGGCTCAAAGGGGCTACAGCTGGGCTTTTCTGAAGTGAGAGAAGCCTTCCCAGAAGACTTGATGTAGGTAAAAGGCTGTTTAGAAACTTTCTAGATTATCAAGGGGATGTGCATATTTCAGATGGAGCAATAGTACCTACAAGGGCAGCAATAAACGAAATAGCCATAGTTTGGGATGGATAGAGCGTAGAATTTGGCAGTGGAGAGGGGGCTGATAACAGTCCTCTGGGCCAGGCATGGTGGCTCATGTCTATAATCCCAGCACTTTGGGAGGCTGAGTCAGGAGGACTGCTTGAGCTCAGGAGTTCAAGATCAGCCTGGGCAACATAGTGAAACCTTGTCTCTACCAAAAAATAAAAATAAAAAAAATTAGCTGGTCGTGGTGGTGCAAGCCTGTGGTCCCAGCTACTTGGGAGGCTGAGGTGAGAAGTTCCTTTGAGCCTAGGAGGTCAAGCCTGCAGTGAGCCATGATCACACCACTGAACTCCAGCCTGGGTGAGTTCAGTGGTGTGAACATGACCCTGTCTCAAACAACAACAAAACAAAACCAAACAAATTAAAAAAAATTTTTCTAATTACTCAGAGAAAATAGCAGGCATGAGCATAAGCACCCAAAGTCATGATGCATCTCCAAATGTGATGACATCTGTATCCACCTTTATTTCTTATTGTGGCATCTCAGCTCCCCACACCCAACAGAACAGTTGACTCTACAATGTCCTTGGGCATCTATCTCTCCCTTTCATCCCTCTAACACTACTTCATTTCAAGCCCGATTCCTTTCCACCTGGTGATTACCAAAGCCTCCTAACTGCTTCCAGCCTCAGCGCCATTCCCACCTCTCCTGGCCTCTTCAGTATCCTCCCCCAGCCAAGGGAGTGAATGTTCTGAAATGCACATCTGCTTGTTACACCCCTGTCTACACAGAGCACACACTTTAGTGGATCTCCATGGTCCCAAAGTAAAGTTCAGGCTCCTCAGAGCAGCACTGATGGTTCTGACTGACACCTCTGCCCACGGGCCAGCCCCCACTCTGACACTTCCACACAAAGAATCCCCCAGCCACTGCAAAAACATCTGCCGCTGTATAACTGCACCACAGCCTCACAACACAGAACGGCACCGGGGAGAGCTTCAGGGGCCAGGCCTGGGCATGAGACATACTCCTTTTCAGGTTCCACTGGCTATCCCAAGCTGCAAAGGGGGCCTGGGAAATGCAGTCTGGCTGTGGCACAAGAGGAAGAGAAAGAGAAAGCTGGTCTTGCTGAGCAGCAGGCTGTCTGCTGTGGGTCCTCTAAACTGGTCTACGTATTTGACATTTGTCTTTTTATTCTATAAATTTTCTTTGACTATCTTGTTAACAGATTGCTCCTGCTTTTTTTTTTTTTTTGAGACAGGGTCCCACTCTGTTACTCGGGCTGGAGTGCAGTGGCATGATCACAGTTCACCGTGGCCTCGACCTAATGGACTCAAGGGATCCTCCTGCCTCAGCCACCTGAGTAGCTGGGACAACAGGCATGTGCCATCAAGGCCAGCTAATTAAAAACAATTTATTTTATAGACCGGGGGTCTCATTATGTTGCTCAGGCTGGTCTTGAACTCCTGAGCTCAAGCAATCCTCCTGCCTCGTCCTTCCAAAGTACAGGGATTACAGGTATGAGCCGTCGGGCCTGGCCTTATTTATATTCTCATATTGTGATTGCAATATCCTCTCAATGTTCTGTGAAAACTAATTTAGTAATACCAAGTTGTAGTTTCTAAAAGTTTTCTTATTTAAAAAAATTCTTTCTGTTTCCATTGGGGTCATTTATTCTGAATGTTCATTTTTAGCTCTAGTGTGTCCTGCGCTGTTGGGGTACCTCAAATCATGATTGCTAATGCTTGCTTATTGTTTACCAGGTACTATTATAAGCATTTACATATGCAATCATTTGATATTTAAATAACCTCTCTAAGGTAAGGACTATTACTAACCTCAATATAGAGATAAGGAAACTGAGGCACAGGGTTTTCCTTACAGAGGTAAGGAAACTGATCTGCGCCCAGGTCCACACAGTTAGTAAGTGAAGGAGTTGGATCCAAATCCAGACAGTCCGACCCTACAGTCTTCCTTTCAAATGGGTAGTGCACTTTGGATATTTGTTTGTGGTTAAAAGTTTCAAGCACTAAATTAGTCAACGTAGGCAGTTGTCAGAGGCTTTCTCTGCTTTTGTGTAAAGAGGACAAATCACAATAATAATTTCGACGTGCTCTATTCTCCTCAACTCTCTGACATTTCTTTTTCCTTTTCAGTGCAGGTTTCTCATACTTCATGGAGAAATAGAAAGGACCAGATGACAGCCACCACACATTTTTGTCCCCATTGCTATAAGATGCTTCTAACCATCGTAAAATTATGAAACACTGAATTCCTTAAAAGTTGTCCACTTGCGGATTTATCTGATGGTAACTATTAAATATTTAAAAGTAACTTTAATGAATCTACTTGTGATGATTGTGTGAGTAATCTATTCTCTGAATTCCACCAAAAAACCATTTTATGACCAAAGTCATAACGAACATATTTCTATAGTCCTAAGCTGGCAAGATAAATAGAGATCTGCTTATAATATAAACAACATATTTATTCCTAAACTAATAAGATGATTATCAATCTGTAAAAGACTATGAAAATCAATGCTGTATACTTGGCTATACTTGGTGAGAATTTTGGAAACATGTCTGTTCTTTTTTATTTGTGTTCTGGAAGATACTTAGCCCACCTTTTTTTTTTTTTTTTTGAGACGGAGTCTTGCTCTTGTTGCCCAGGCTGGAGTGCAGTGGAATGATCTCGGCTCACTGCATCCTCCACCTCCTGGGTTCAAGCAATACTCCTGCCTCGGCCTCCCAAGTAGCTGGGACTATAGGCGCGCGCCACCACGCCCAGCTAATTTTTGTATTTTTAGTAGAGGCGGGGTTTTGCCATGTTGGCCAGATGGTCTCGATCTTTTGACCTCATGATCCGCCCGCCTCGGCCTGCTTAGCCCACTTTTAAGGACAAGTCCAGCTGTCCTTATCCTTCACAGCAAATAACAAACATAGTGATTAGTGGGGGAGAAGAGATGTTGGTCAAGGGGTACAAAGGAAAGTCAGATAAAAGGAATATGTTCTAGTATTTGATAGAATAGTAGGCAAATTATAGTTAACAAAAATTTATTGTACACTTCAAAGTAGCTAGAAGCAAAGAATTGTAATGTCCCCAACACAAAGAAAAGATAAATGTTTGGGGTGACAGTATCTCAATTACTCTGATTTGATCATTACACATTGTATGCAGGTATCAAAATATCACATATCCCCCCAAAATATGTACAATTGTTGTATATTAATAAAAATAAATACAAACAAAAAGACCAAAAAAGTAATTAATTATAGTGTAATTATTAGCCTAGGGCCAATCTGGATAAGCACCTGTTCAACATCATATCCTCATTTTCTGGCACCCCGTAGATACTGCAGAAGTATTTTTGATTGGTCCTGCAGAGGTTCTACCCCGCCCTCACCAGGTGCAGGTGGATGCCAGGTGCCAGCCCGGGACAGGCTCTAAGTTCTAAAGAGTGTGTCGGTGGATGGTGCGCTTTGATCTTTTAGTTCATACGGCTCTGCCTTTGATTAACAGCACAGAACACTGGGCCCAGACTCTTGCCAGAAGATGCCTTTGAACTGTTTGCTGCTCACCTTTTAGTGAAAGCTCTTGACACAAATATTAAAGAAAAGTGTTTAAAGGACGTGCGGTCAATGCATTCCTTACGGTGAGTCTTTCGTGGATTGAAAGCTCTGAAGTCCCACACTGGAAAAACACTTCGAGACCTACACAGATAATGGTGTGTACAACTTCAGAGGCCTGTGCTGTCTCTTGAAGTGCATATTGATGCCCTAGACAGTTCTGTCATGATAAAAAACAGGCTTCAGTTTTTTCCATCTCTAATCAATTGGTAGTGAAGACCAAGAGCACTGTTTTGAAATGGATCTGAGCCCAGTTTGGTCTAAGCAGAGAAGAGTTCTATGACGGATCCACACACCCTAAGTTGGGTTGAGAAAGCTGCTGGGCCATGGGCTATGATTTTGATATCCTTACTCTGGAAATTAAGGTAGACTACTAGCAAGTTGTGTATGTTGACCTGACACTTTCTAATTTATCCAGAACATTGCTTCCATTGAGTTGGACTTGGTCATTATATCCTCAGTTTGCATTCAGGGAAAATTTTAAAAAGTTTCCCATGACACCTGCCTTCACTTTTTTGTCAGAATGTCATCGAAAAACACTGGCCATGTCAGATAAAATGTCCTTGTCAGACCTAAGTGTCAGGAAAATCTTTGCTTCACTGAAGAATTTTATTCTTTCAGGACAAAATATGAATGACATAATATACAGTATTCCTCTTTGCTTCTGCTTTTAGGAATATCAGCTTAATGTCAATAATTGCATAGCATACTATAACAAAAATCATACAATGATACTAATTTTTATTTATATCTCTATCCATGAATCTATCCCACTGTTGAGCTAACAATTCTTATAAGCCACTCCAAATTCTTTGTGGAACAAATCAAGATATATAAAGGTAAACAAATAATATTGTATAGATGTTAATATTTTAATTCTCCCATGAAAAATAAAAGTTCGCCTTCCTTTGGCTTCAGAAAATTCATTAATTTTCCAGCTTTAAGACTGAAGAGCAATGAACACATGCTATCAGCAGATTTAAGTATCTGACTAACGACAGTTCAAGCCTTCCCTTTCATATTCCTCTCCAGTATGACTGAATAACTTCTTTTCCCTAGAGACAGATATTTAGCCTTAAATTTTATTAGAAGGAGAAAGAACAAAAAATTTTAAAATATCAAAGCAATATAAATCTACAGTGGTATTCAGAGTTGTTCATTTTGAATAGAAATAAATTACTAGTTCAAATAACTTCTCCAAAACAAGTTTCCCAGCCCACCAAAGCAGCCGCTGGTGAGCAGCCTCACCTGTTATCATTAGTCTTTTCTTGTCACACTGCCCTACTTAAGTGTGGAATTGTTCCCAGTTCAAAGATACATGGGGGAGAAGTGGCTGGATGGGTAGGATGCACAGAAAACCTCGTGTATATTCTCTGGGAGAAGCTTCTGTAGAAGAATCTAAGAGGCCACAGCAGATGACCTCTGGGGAGGTTTGTGGCTATCATCATGAAGAAAGGCTTAACTGTTACACAAATCTTTGCAATACTTTTCTTCTGAATTTCTTAGGCCCAGAAGGCTCTATTGCTCAAGTTCATTTTAAAGCACACTGGTTTCAAAACCTGCATAAGTGTTCACTGAATTAAAAAAATTCTTTCTCAAGCTCTAGGTATGCTGACAAGTTCGGTAGACCGGAAGTGTGATACTTCTACCTGAGAGCCTCCCACAGAGTCAGCACCTCAAGGGAGAAGGCAGGGGCCCTGAGCTCCGTCCCCGGTCAGTGCCTTACTTCCTGTGTGATCTCTGCAAAGTTACTTAGTCAACCTCTCAGTCTCAGTTTTCTCATACATAAAGTAGGGATAAAAGTCATATCCAGCTTGTAGATTGTGCAGATTAAATGCATGTCATGTAAAGCACATGGAGTGTACTAAATGCTCAATAAATACCAGTTCCCTCCCTTCACCTTTCAGCCCCTCGTCTCCCCAGCAATATTTTCAGATGAAGAAGAGGTGAGAATTTTCAGTCTTATTTACACCAAAGATCACGTTTCGTTAGTCAAAATAAAAGTGACCGTATAATCTAAGGACATAAGTGAGTTATGTGGTCTGAGAACAGGACAGAATAATTAAAAGCAGGCTTGTGCTGAAAACCTGGAAATATGCTGCACATCATGTCTGCATCCTTCCCTCACACCTCCTTCTCTCTCCCACAGGGTAGTAGAGCAAAGAAAGTAGAACTCAGGGCAGGGCTTGTGTCTGTTTTGTTCACTGGTGTACCCCAAGTGTGGAGAATCCTATAGATTTAATGCTCAATAGATATTTGATAAACTGAATTAAATACTCAGAAAGAAAGCAGAAATGTTTTGGGACTTCATATCCTGTTTTCCCTGCAGTTCAGCATAAATAAAATAATTATTTCTAACAAAAAAGTTAAAGAAAGTCTTTAATTTTCTACCACAGGAAAAGGTATTAGATTTGTATTCATTTTCCTCAAGCACATACCCAAAAAAAATCCCCCCAAACAAATAAACATCAGTAAATGATTTCTGGAAACCCAATGTAGCAATAGGTTACAAGTAAAGCAAAGAGTGCCCCTGCTCAAACTGCTGTTTATCTTGCAAGGGCCTTCCAGGGTGGAGCTCTCTCACCCTCTCTCAGCCCAGCCTTAAACTTCACTCTAAGTAAGCAGAATACAGCTGAGACAAGAGGAAGTAGTTCATTTGCATAATACAAACAAAGACACCCAGGTGAATGGTTTGCCACTTATCAATGTTTGCTTTGCTCATTAGTGAAACAATCTACCAGTAAGTCTACCTAAAGTCTAATAGGCTATACTTTTTTTTTCCCCAGAAAGTTGGTCAATGGAGAAGGCATCAGTTGGCAACATTCGGTTGGACCAGTTAATGATGGTTTGCTTTTCAAAAGATACTAGCAGAAAGCATTAATCTTATCATTCTCTTTAAGTATAATCTGGACGCAGAGAATCACTCACATGCTTTAAGTTAGGTTGCAAAGTTTTGGGGGAAAATGTCAGAGATTTTGTTTTGTTTTTGGATGTCTGGCATCGGATAAGCAATGGATATTTTGGGAGCCCAAATATCCATTGTTTCTCTGGATACTAAAAATGATTATATTAATAGAAATAGCAGGGACTGTGAAGATCGGCTGTGACAAGTAATGCCGTGGTTTACTCTGACTTAGATTTGCTTCCATGGAGGTTTGACTGTGAGATGGAGATCTGTGGAGAGTTCCACTGGGTCGTGCTCTGGGCAAAACCACTATGACAGCAGTGAAGGAAGAAGGATCAGGTGGGAGGGGCATCTTGGAGTCCTGAGCTGGGATGCCCTTCAGAACTGGCCCAAACTGAAGCAGTGGGGATGAGTCTCAGTGGCCAGACATTGGATGTGGGCTGCCCAGGGAGGACACATGACCTCGTGTGAGGCAGCTCCCTTTGGCCAAAGGCAATTTTCCAGAAGGGATGCAGTGAGGGCTGTCAGCTTCCACCAATTCCAGCAGCTGGCGGAAACAGTACCTTGGCTCTGAAGGAGTATCTGGGTCGCCAACTACAGCATCCACTAAAACTGGCAAGTTTAAATAAAATATTTAGGAATGAGTACTTCCTATGTAACCTGCATATAAAGGACATTTAACAAATATTTGTCAAATGAATAAATGAGTGGTTATTAGGATAGAAGAATGATAAGTAGTGGATTTAAACCCCAAGAGAAGGGATTTAAATAAGGCTAAAGACAAATACAGAACTATAATAATGAACCACTCAGAGCAGAAGAACTTCCAGTCTAGATAGCTGTATTATGACTTCATCATTGGATTTAGTTACTCGAATTCTGAATTTAAGCCTTACAGCAAAAGTAGAAGGAAAAGATGGAAAAGGGACTCCGATTTTGGGGATCAAGGTTC